ATCTATCTATCTATCTATCTATCTATCTATCTATCTCCATCCATCCATCCATCCATGCATTTTATATTTATATTTTAAAGAAAAATATATCAAAGTGTTATTTCCAGCAGGATGTTTTGACTTAACTAATTTAATCTTTAATTATTAACTCCATTAGAATACAATGTTTATTTCAATGTAAGGTCAATGTTGGATTATAAAAATGATAAAATTGCAAACAGAAATTGTAAAGGAATAATTATTAATTGTTTTGGATGGATTTTATCTAAGATTGTTTTCACAAGTGTCTGATAGGTGAGGGAAACTTGATGTTAGAGCTTAGAAATGAATTTTCCTTCATACAGTTTATTTATAGTTCATAAATGATTTTACTACAGTTAAATATAAAACCTATTTTATCATATGTTGCAGTATGTTGATTTTATAGACTGAATATACATATAGCTCATAAAAAAATCTGTTTTCATCATCTAAAAAAAAAGTGAAACATTAGACTGTGTAAATATGCTTTTTTAAGTAACTGTTAATATAAACAGTTACAAACAGACTGTATTGTGGATTTACTGATTGTTTATTGAAACATTTAAGGTGCCTTCCTTTATGCATGAAGTATGTTTAAATGAAGAGCTCTTTATGGGGATTTTTGTAGAGCCTGGTGATAAAATATCACCCCTGAAAGCATTTTGTTTGACACTTTGGTTAAATTGGCAATTTGAAAAACAAAAAAGGTGAAGATGGTGGTTTTGCAGAAACTTATTTTAAAATGCTTTAGAGATCTCATGTGCTCGTTTAGAATTTGTTTTGTTTTTCCACATTTTGATTTGTTCTCGTCTGAGGCCAGCAACATAAAAAGTACTTACAATAACAATGTGCAAATGAAGAATAAGATTGAAATCAGTCTTTTTTTTTTTTTGTGATGTTTTGTTTGTATTTTCTTTAGAGAAATTTAATGAGAGCACTCCCATATTTCCCCTTGGATTTCTCTGCCTTGATGTGGGTATAAAACACTTTTGTGCATACCTTCATGCAATACAGCTACTGAGAACAGAGGCCACAAGAACTTCCCGTTCCCACGATCCCAAAAGCACTCACCTTGCACAGGTGAACACCGGGAATAAAGCCTTGCTGGAAGCTCATTGACTGACAGCTGAAAGCCAAACATTCGCGCATGAATCGCGCTTGCTCCTCCCTCGTGGGGCCCTTAGCGGCCAATGGCGTGGCTCTCCTTCAGATAGACCCCAGCGTATCTCCCTCCAGCCCCAGTCCCCTCAGAGTAAAAGTCACGTTGGAAGGAAGAGGGGAGAGAGATATCTGCTTACAGCTGCTGTCAGATATCCGATCGGGTTCGCATGGCGAGGAGGTAACCTGATCGAACGGGGAGGAGTGACTCTACCAGGGAAGGCTCGAACAAAAAAAAAAAAAAAATGTCTTCTTCTTCTTCTGGAGAGGTCACGGCGGTGAATGACATCAAGAGGGAAAATGTGAAGGAGGTGGATACGCGGGAGAGCATCAAGCTGGTGGCGCTGGACGCGGTGGAGTTGTCCATGGAGCGCACGGCTCCCAACGCCGACGCGGTGCGCACGGAGCTGCTGGTGAGCGCCGCTTCCTCCCTGGCTTTCTCCCCGGAGCAAGTGGCGTGCGTATGCGAGGCGCTGCAGCAGGGGGGCAACGTGGACCGGTTGGCGAGGTTCCTGTGGTCCTTACCCCAGAGCGACCTGCTCCGCGGCAACGAAAGCATCCTAAAAGCCCAAGCCCTAGTTGCCTTCCATCAAGCTCGTTACCAGGAGCTCTACAGTATTTTGGAGAATCATAGTTTCAGTCCGTCCAACCACACCTTTCTGCAGGAACTTTGGTACAAGGCCCGGTACACGGAGGCAGAGAAGGCGCGGGGGAGACCCCTGGGCGCCGTGGATAAGTACCGGATCCGGAGAAAGTATCCTCTCCCTAGGACTATCTGGGACGGTGAGGAGACGGTTTATTGTTTCAAGGAGAGGTCGCGGAACGCTCTGAAGGATCTCTACAACCAGAACAGGTACCCGTCTCCAGCCGAGAAACGGAATCTGGCCAAGATAACCGGACTCTCCTTGACCCAGGTCAGCAACTGGTTCAAAAACAGGCGACAGAGAGACAGAAACCCGTCTGAGGCGCAGTCAAAAAGGTAAGGGAACAAAGGAGAAGAACATTTACATTCGTCTCTCTTCATCAGACTTTTAACTGGTGGAAATGATCTCTGCGTAAAAGGCGCATCATATAAAATGAAGTTTAAAAATGTTGAGCAATAACTCAACATACCTTTATTGTGTATGCTGGAAGCACATTTTACGCCCCGCGCAGATAACTGGTGCGTAAAGACGCAACAATAACAAAACTGAACCCTATAGTACAGACAGTGTAGCGAATGAGTGAATTATTTACTAGTTATGGTTAAAGAACAGAAAAAAGCTTAAGCAGCACGCTTTTAATGTTTTGAAATATGAAGCTGTTGCCGTTCGTATCCGGTTTCAAGCGAAGCGGAGAGTCATGGAAACCAGAGGCAACCAAATATCTTCAAGCCTCAGAGATCCGGCTGACAGGCAGGCAGGCAGGCAGGAGGGGAAGGTAACTTTGATGAACGAGTTCAAAAGGCAACTCTGGATGAGCCTGTGCCTGAACGCACAGAGATCAGAACATAAATTATTTTCATGTTAACCCTTTCTTTTTTTCCTGGACTAAAAGGATCTCAGAGCTTCCATCAGCTGCGCTTCATCTCATAATCCCACACACACACACACACACACGCACTGAGATGTGAGGGTTGGTCTTTCATGTTTTTTTTTTTTTTTCTTGCATTGTGTGAACAAAGATGACGCACACCTGGTGAAGGTGACCCCTTCTATCCACCCCCCGCCCCCACTTTCACAAAGGGGCAAAATTAGTAATGTAAAAATGTCTAGAACCTGTGGATTTCCTCGGAGGGGCCCACATGCTTTTTTTTTTTTTTTATGGCGGTTGGTTGTGCGTGTTCGCGGGATGGGAAGGTGGGGTGGGGGGTGTTGAAGCAGCTGTTTTAATAAGGCTTTTTTTAAGTGATAAAAAGAGAAAACAGAGCTATTGAATTAGTTTTAGTTTCGTTGAATATATGTGTTTAAAACTGGACATGTGGATTTTAGTTTTACTTCGAAGCCATGGAAGCCGTTTGTTGTTGCCTTTTGTCGACAGAATTTATTGCACCAAATGGTTACAAGGTTGGTGCTGCTGTCAGAGCAGCTCTCTATGAGGTAGAGAGGGCCCCACGTCCACAAACAGACTGCTATTCAGCTCTGCAATAAGATGGAGTCTTTCCTTATTGTTTCCCAGAAGAGAAAAATCTTTCTAATATAAATAAAAAATTCTCTATTCAGACATGAACTGAGCTTTTCTTGTTATTTGTTTTGCAACCCATCTTTTTTATTTGCTCTTACTCTGCAGTGAGTCTGATGGAAACCACAGTACAGAGGATGAGTCCAGTAAGGGACAGGAGGAGCTGTCCCCTCGTCCTCTTTCCAACTCTTCGGATGGAGTGATAAACCACGGGAGCCTCCCAGCTCAGACAGGAGCTCTGGACGGTGGAGTGGTCATCCAGCAGATTGGTGACATCAAGATGTCCACAGGATCCGGTGGTGGTGGGGTCTACAATGGCAGTCTGGCAGCCAATAATACTTCCCCTGCCGTGTTTCATAATGGTGGCTCATCCTACCTTCATTCACCTGGAAACATTCTCTTCAACGGCCTCAATCTGGGCATCCAGCCTCTGGCTTTCAACCCTCTGAGGCCGCCCAGCGGCGTGCTTCTGGGGGGCTCTGCGGGGGACATGCACATGCAAACAGGCCAGGAAAAAGGAGTGATTGGTGCCGAGGAGTCCGCCCTGCACTACTCCTCCTACACGGGCTGTGTTAATGGGTCGGAGGTGAAGCTGGAGGGGGTTCATACCATGGCGGACCAGAATGGAGGCTCCTCAGTCCTCACATTCAGCTCACCGTCAGGGTCTCTGCAGCTCGGTGGCTACAGCCTGGTCCAGGTACCGAGTGGAGTCCCTGACAGCGATGGCAGCTCCTTGCTTAACACCGATGTAGGTCTTCCTCCCCTACAGCTGCCGTCTGCTTCATCTTCCTCCACAATTACACAACAAGGTGAGCTCTTAACAAGTGATCAATTTAAAGAGGTCATTTTATAGTTGTTTTTAATTGTAAAAAATATGCAGAATTTATAAGGGTGTTGTAATGCTATTAAATTGGATTAGTCAAGCTTTAATTCGTTTTCTGGCAATTATTTTATAAAAATCTTCAAAATACTTTTACTTTTAAATATATATGCTTATGCTGTCATTTTTAAAATATTAAAACCAGTTTTCTTTTTTATCTGTTAGAGAAAAGCAGTAAATATTAGTCTAAATCTCTTCAACAACCATTAAAGCAACGACTCTTACTTATAACAGTCATATCTAGTTAATTACTTATAATCTTACCCGAATCATGAATAACACTGGCCCTGAAAGTTTTAGTCTGCACATAAAAAGATTTAACTGGAGTTAAAACCTGAGAACAAATTTATAATAGGTCAGTATTGCTTTATATCCTCCTGCAAACCTCTGTCAGCCATCTCAGCTGTTGCCACCCAATATATCAAAGCCACCTCATTAGTCGGGCTGCAGCAAAACATGATGCACAGATGAAAGAGAAACACACAGACATTCATATTTCTAGAAGCGGTGATCTGTTCAGATGAATAAAAACACATCACTCATCATCATTAATAGTGTTGATCTCCAGAGAAAGCAATGGAGGTGTGACTCATTTGGACTGAAACACTGAAACAGGGGGAAAAGAAATTACAGCACTTAATGTGACATAAAGCAGAGAACCGAGAGCAGAACCCCTCCTACCCAAAAAAACAAGAGAATTACAGCTTCCATTTGAGACGGGCAGAGTAGAGCATTTGTTCTCTGGGTCACCATTGGGTCGGGCAGAAAATGCAGCAAGTGTTTGGGATGTGCAACAGTGACTCTGAGAAGAAGGTCTGTGCAGATTGTGACACCAGTAGATTTTCATCAATAAATCAGTAACCATATTATTGCTGCACCAAACCCTTTAAATTTAAAACAAATAACACAGCTCCATGAAATTTAATGTGTTTCTGTTTTCATCATTTACATGTCTTGAAAAATACATGAAAAATACAAAAATGTTAATTCCTCACTGACTTCAAGCAGGGCAGCTTCTTTCATATTAAGGATTTTAAGCAGATGTCAAAGCAACAGAGAAACATCCTTGTTTTCTTGTGTTTTCCTGCTGTTTTTGTATGAACTGTATTGGTTATTGCATGTTTTAACAATTTTATCTTGTATATTAATTTTGTTATATATTAACAAAGTTAATCTGTTTGCTTAAACGCAATATAACAAAGCAGGTATGCGATATGAAATCCACTGAGAGTTAAACAACAAAAAGAAGGAAAATGATCTGGTTTAGCTGCACTGAAAGAAGTTTAAAGTAAATATCTACGCACACTGACATAAGCGATTTCTTTCCCCCCCTTATTGTCTGAAATATAGCTAGGATTACTAAATTTTTTTTTTTAGTTTTCCAAATTCCAGAATGAGGTTTGTCTTTTTTCTTTAGATTGAGAATCGATGAGATCAGCGTCTCTTTATACAATTTGGGAAAGCCCAGATGATGTTACATTGAAAGCTTCTGATAGATTAACCTTATGGATGGAGGGGGGGTAGTGTTTTAAACAGCAACAGCTACAAATGTCTACATTAATAAATGGACACTCTAACTTGATCAGTACCATGGACTTGCATATGTTGACCTTGCAGCTGTACCAGGACAGTTGCAGCTAACATTAGTTCTGGTATTGGAGAGGTTTTCAATGAATGTACATGTAGGCTTGGATTGCAATGTGCTGCTACTTTGACCTTAGGATGCTAAAAGAGAGTTTTATTCTCTTTGCATTTATTCTGGTGTTTAGCAAATATCCATTATTTTTGTTATCCTTACTCCTTAAAACAGGAAACATTTCAAAGATGCATGTCAGATGGGAACAAATGATGGTTTAGTTTTTTAGATATCTGATTTTGTGTTCACTGTTTCGTTTCTTTGTTTGTTTGTTTTTTTCAGGTAGCATGTCTCTGAACAACGCAGTGGTAAGCTCATCCAGTCAAGACTCTTTCCAGCCACAGGACAAGCTGACTATGACATCCTTGCACCACAACACCGTTCTCTACAGCATGAGCAACCAGACTCCAATAAAGAAGGAACCTCTGGATGGAGGCATTTACTCCTCGTACCACGGCGGGCTCCACCTGGACCCCAGCGGTCAGATCAGCTACACCGGCAGCGACTCTGGGCACATCTCCTCCAGTCATGGCACCACTTCCACCACTGACGTCACCCCCATCAGCTCATCCAGCTCTGAGCCAGAGGTCTACACCACACTCACCAACAGCACGCCTCTGATGGCTCAGACGGACCCAGACGCCCATCATCACCTGCAGCCGGCTGAGTTCCTCGGCACACATGAGGTGCACCGAGGGGCCCCATCCTCACACCTACTGGGCCCCGGGATGAACAGTGACTACATGAACATTTCAGAGAGCAAGTCGGACATTTCGGGGCCTGGGGGGATGAACGAGATGGTACGGGCGATGTGCGGGGAGCTGGAGGCTGCAGAGGGGAAGGAGCTAGCCAAACTACAGACTGTGCAGATGGACGAGGACATGTCCGACCTTTAACCTCAAACTCTGAAGCACTCACATCCACCTGAGCAGTCATACAATGAATATTTTTACTATTCAGTGTGTGTGTGTGTGTGTGTGTATTTGTGTGTGTGTGAGTTTTTAAGCATTGATTTCCTTTAAATTATTTGTTTTTATTTGAATTTTAAATGCACTCTAGTGAGAAAGGAGCCATGTAGATTGACTGCTTCAGCTTATTATGAAAATGTAAAAATAAAAGAGCCTGTGGTGTGTCTAAAAAAGCCCCCGTTTGTGAGAAGAAACACTGAGACTGCTCTGGCCGATAGGAAGGAGTCCCTGCATGAGTTTAGGCTCCGTTTAAAAGAGCATTTTTTATAGACAGCACCTGCTACTTCCTGTTGAGTGGATGTGATCTGCAGAAGCAGGTGCTGGAATTCCTCGGGTCATGTGACCGGGATGTTCCTCCAAACCAAATGCGTCATGTGGGTTGAAACAAAAAGGTCACTCTGGAGTGGGGAAGAGGGAGAAAGCTTTAAGTTGAACAGCTTTACTGAAGGACTAAAAGGAATCGGTTAACCAACACAGAAAAGTTGCTGATTAAGGAAGAATTTTCCTTCAGGGAGCACTTTAATTGCTTTGAAAGCTTCTCAAGTCAATGCAAAATGCTGCTTTTATGCTTTATAACACATTTAAAACCTTGACTGGAAGAGTAAAGTTAAATGTGCCTTTCTGCAGCTAAAAATACCCAATGGTTCTGTTTTGGCATTTGCACTACCACCATGACATTACAATGTTTGAAACAACCCCTGAGCTGGACGTTTGTCATGTGTGACACGTCCAGAAGAAATGCCCACTATTGCAGCCCTGTCTCCTGTTTCCAGTCCCATCATCAACTCATGACACGGACACATAAATGATGACGTCTCTCATTCTGAGCTGTTTATAACCCAACTGCTCGCAGAATCAGGGTTCCTATGAAGTCTGAAAAAATTTGGAATCAGATTTTGTTATTTTTTTTCTGGTCTTGATAAGAAAACAAAAACAAAGGAAGGGTTGTTTTTTGTGTATTGAATTGCCTAAATGTAGAATTTTTCTTTTGTATCCTCTTTTTCCTTCTTTTCCTTTCTTCCATTGCTCCTCAGTTTTTTTTCTTAAATCATTGTTTTAAAGGTTCAAGAAAACAAATCTCCTCTTTTGAAAAAAGATTTTGAAAGGTCAAAATCTTTTTTGACATTTTTCTTTTTATGTATTTTTTGTCTATAACTTTCTCTCCTTCCTTATGTTTTTCTGTCTTCAATTTTGTTTCACGTTATTAATTTTTCCATTGATTTAGTCATTGCGTTCTTCCTTTAAACCTTTATTTTCCTAATCTCCTTCCTTCCTTCCTTCCTTCCTTCCTTCCTTCCTTCCTTTTGTGTCCTTCATTTTTCTTTCCTTTTGTTCTTCTTTCTTTTATTGTGTCCCTTTCTACATCTGTGTGTCCTCCCTTTATCTCCTTTTCCCCTTGTATCCTTTGTCCCTTTCTTCCTGTTTCTGGTTTTTCCAGTTTCTATTATTAGAGCTTACATGGTAGAAAATACATACTGACCTTTTGCTTTAGAATTACTGACAAACACAAAAGACTGAAAAACTCTGTATAAATGAATCTAGAAATTTTTTTATTTCTTTATGAAAAATTTGTGGAAACCCATTAGATAAACCAGTTTTTCCATAAGACCAGACTAAAACAGCTCCAGAGTGAAATAATTTTCAAACAAAATGATTTTATGTGACCCCAGAGTGTGTAATCATCTGTCTATGCACAGCATTAAACTAGTCCATTGATATGAGTGCCTTTTACATTTGCTGTGGGGATCCAATCAAAGTGGAAGCATCAGGGTTCAGAAAGCAGCTTCAGAGGTTTGCAGCCTCTGCCTGAATTTGAAAGTGAGACCGTTTGTCAAGAGACACTAACACTTTTCCAAACTTGTCCAGAGTTTCTTATCGTCACATATGAGCACATTTCGACCTTACATCCAACTCATCACATGCTTTCATGCCAGAGAGGCTCCCCATCTTCAGGACCTCTGAGCGGACCTTTCAATGAAAGTATCCTCAGTGCTTTAACGGAATAAAACCAAAAATGATGAGCAAAAAGTGCATCATTTGTTTTTTGTTTGTTTTTTTTATCTTAGTTTGAGTTATATGTTTGTTATGTGAAATTATGTGAATGTATTTTTCTAAATCAATGTACTGGAATAAAAGTTTATATTTATAAAAACATAAAAGAGGCAGTTTCATTCCCGTAGCATGTATGATTTTACAATGACTGATAACAATATGGGATTACGGAGGTTTTAGTGACACTAAGGCTGAAAGGAATGTGAGTTCACAACAAAAAGCACATGTCCTTTCCTATATTCAAAAGTCCAGAATTGCCAGATTGGAAGGATGAAGAGGGGAGGCATGGGGGAGGCTACACGCAGTAATCCAGCAGGCCTTCTGCAGCTTTTTGCCGACCTGCAGTGATCGTTTGCACATGCTTGGCAACCTGGACTTCATTAGGTCTCCTTTTCTCATCTCAGCCTCTGTAATTCAAATAAACAGCAATGAGATTTCCAGAAGTAAAGCTCCTTTTGGGTGGGGGGTCCGAAATTTTTGTTAGCTGAGTCCAAACCAAAAGCTTTTTCCCTAAAATGAAGGGTAAACCCCACCACCCTGGTACCTTGAACATGTGGAGAAAAAGATGTGAGCTGCTGCCGGTCACTCAACTCTTCTTAGGGAATTTACTCTAAATTTGTACCTTTCCTTTGTAAAAATATATACATCCTGGGGGAAGAGATAAGATAGAGATCCGTTTGGAGAAAAGGATGTGGTGCAGGGAATTATTTTATATACAGGAGTGTCTTCTTGGTGTATCCATGGGATATGATCTAACCAATGACCTGAATAAACAGAGGCTGTTTGTCTGTACTCACTGTTGAGGCTCCAAAAAGGAGGGAGGGGGAAAATGGAAGCAACTATAGCGGGAAAAGGGAGGGAGACGCAAGCACGCGGGATAAAGTTACCTGTGCACAGGTGACCTCGTCGCCATGGGCAGTGGATTAGCTGATTGTTGGGTATCGGGTAACTCCTCCTGTAATATTGAAGAGGATGAACACAGCTTTGTTGGAGCCCAGAACAATATCCCATTTGCAGCAAAAGCCCAAAGTCTGTGGCTCTCACGGGGAGGAGGCCAAATAAAAAGAATTCAACCTTTTGTGCACAGAGAACCAAAATGAAGAGGACTTGAACATCAACTGAAAAAACAAAACCAGTGTACTCCAGCAGAAAAAACTATAACAATCAAATTACTTAACCAGTGGGTTATTTTTAAACAATCGAAAAGAAAAAAGCAGTAAAAATAGTTAGTTTTAGGTGTAAAAGTTAGGGAACCAATCCCAGAACTTTGGCCTTATTAAAATCAACGACCCCTGATCTTTCAGACGGTTTCAAAGTTGACATTTAATGCGGCCCAGCAGACTGCAAGGCACATGTAACATGACCTGGGGAGCAAGGTACTCCACCACTCTACGTCCCACTAATGAGAGGGCAAGGGGTCAGTGGGTACCAGACCCACCACTTTTAACTAAACCGGGCCTGGCAGAAACATTGGCTTTTTGCTCCTTAACTGAACAGGAAACCCACTCAGAGATTTCATTTTAACTCTAGCAGTTTAGTGAGTTCTCATAACTCCGGCAGCAGAAACATGCAACTCTCTGCTGTCGCCCATCACTCAGCCAAAGGCATGCAACCAGAATGATTCACGTATTTGTCCTGCATGGCAGGAACAGAAAGCATAACTCATGAGGACAGTTTTAAGTGTGCCTGTGTGAAGAAGGAGGCAGCAGCAGCTGCTGTGAGGCAGCATTAGGTCTGCAGCAGAGCAGTCTGAGGTGTTTCCCAAAGAGAAACCATGCAGCAGGCTGTAACAGGAGCAGGAGCCCAAACGACCAGAGAAGATCACAGCTGCTACACTTAAAACACCAACAACCCATCTTCTCTATATGACTGCACAGCGCCCCCTCCTTGCCAGAACCAACATGGCAGCTGCGTTTAAATCCTTCACTTTGTTTGTTTTTGTTTGTCTGCCTGCCTCGTTTGTTTATTTATCAGCCCTGCAGCCAGAAAACGGAGCCTCTTTAAAACAAATGTCCTCATCTGCACACCCGGGGTGTGTTTACCGAGGCAGAGCACTGTGAAAGCCGCCTCTTAATTGCATATTTGTGGAGGTGGGTCCTCTGAGGAAATGCGTAATGATTTTGATGGTGCAGGAGGGGGGGAGGCCTAACCCCAGCGCACTTGTACCACGTCTAATTTTCCAACATGACAGGAAACTCTGTTAAGCTGATAATTGCAGCTCCAATTTCATTTAACTCACTCATGTCAACAGTTGTGTTTTGTTTTGATGGAAGGAGCTGCGCTTTTTTAAATTATTCTCATGATTTACTTAAAGGGATTTCTCTAAAACTTAAACAATTCAAAATAATTAAAGAATTGAAAAAAATGCGTGGTACTTAAATCGTATCCTTCAGTTGTTTGTATAAAATCTATTGGTGTATATATGGGGAGACAAATAAGGGAATGTATTGAAAATATATGAATAAGATTAACTATTTCTTATTCCCCCATGATGGAAGTTTTTTTAAATTAGATTTTTATTACTTTTTTCTTTTTAGCTCTCCCTGCCTCTTCATGCAAACTTCATTGTTTGGAGCAAATTATGACTCTATATATGTTATTCTTCCTCTTTCTTAAATTCCTGATCAGGTTAAATTCGAGTAAAGCTTTGTAGAATAAATGGAGAACAGCAGATTTTTCCCCTTTTTCTTTCTTTCTTTCTTTCTTTCTTTCTTTCTTTCTTTCTTTCTTTCTTTCTTTCTTTCTTTCTTTCTTTCTTTCTTTCTTTCTTCATGTTAAAAATGTTCTTAGTCACTAAAATCTGAACATCTAAGATTTCAGCAGCAAAGAGCGCACAAAAGAGCGCACTGTGTTCGTTTTTAAAAGTTAATAAAGTGTCCAGAGAGGAAAATAAACTGAATCCTTTCTGCCTTTAAGCCTCTTTCTAAGGGAAGTTCCGAGTGATCGACTACCTAAGTATTGCTTTACTTGCTTTACTTGCGCTGGCCGCAGCAGTGGAGGAGGCGGAGAGTCCACATCTTGAAATAATCTGGCCCCCCGGGCTGCGGGGGTTAAAGGAGGAGGCGCGGCGCAATGTGGTAGAGATATTAGAGAAACCCGAGAGGCGCTCATCAGACAGCTCATTTACTGAAGCACCGAGGTTTTACACAGCCTCAGACCCAGGCTGAGCCCACTTCACAGCCCGCATTCCCTATAACATCTCAAGCACAAATACAAGCATTTAACACTTGAATTTTACGCACGAAAAACTATTCCCTAACCTGAGGAAAATAAATAGGGCAAAATTTGTGTTTTTGTTCACTTTTATTTATTTTCAGTAATTTATTTAGATATTTTTAAGTGAAAAAAAAAATATTTTATTGTGTTACACACAGTATAAGAAATTCAGATTTTTTTCCCTTTGGCGTTAAGCTTCAAAACCGTGAGAAAACGGATGCATTAAGCCTTAACGAGGAAACCTATATGTCTGAATCATTGTAGAAGGAATCTAATTGTTTTTCCTCTTGTATTTCATCATTGGAAAATATAAATTGAGCCAACAGAAATAATAATTCTTATAATCTCCATCATTCGAGGAGCCCTGTGATCTTTACTAACCAAAGGCCTTTCACTCATACTTATTTTTCAATTAATTTTCGACAGTTTGTCAGAGAATAAAAGGCAAGAACAATAACTCTCTATATAACAACTGTATTTTATCTGAAAACTGCTTTATTAAATATATTATGTTATTTTGGTGATATTAATTAAAAATCCCTTCCTAAAGCGCAAAGTTATGCGAGATAAATGCAAAATGGGAGGTTCTGCTTCAGACTTTTGGTGCAGATATAGAAACGTGATCCGTGAGGCTCAAACCAACAACTGCACCACCAAGAACCAGTGTGGCCCAGAACTCATTTACTAATGGATTGGTTTAATGTTTCAGCTCACAGAAAACAGTGGAGCCAGTGTGGTGCCCGTCTAATCTCTGAAATATAAATGCGCACAGCAGTCAAAGGGGATAAAGACACGCGATGATGCAAAAAATAATACAGTTCTTCATTTTTGCAGCAATTGGAAAATGATCATTAAGATTAGTTGAGCACCAGCCCAATGCATGCTTAAAATTCTGTTCTTCACATCCCACTCCGAGTTTCATTTCTTATTGCTTTATTTGAATAAAACTGTTCCGAATTTCCAGAACTGAAGATTTTTGGCTAATTTTCTTGCCAAATCTTGCAACCATAAAATATGAGGCCTTTTTATACCAGCCACTGACTCTCACACATGCGCGCACACACACTTTAAGTGGCTGATTTCCTTCTGGTGGTCTGTGTCCCATAACTCCTTTGGCAGGTAGTATAGGTTGCTCATAAATAAGCGCGTAATGGACCCACCTATCATAGGAACTTATTAAGTTATACCACCTCATAAAATAAACAGCTCGTGGGATTCATCGAATAGGGAGGAAACAACAAAATAGTCAGTTTTCTTGTGTCTTTGCTGGTTTGGACCCCATGAAACAGTAAACTGTGTATATCTTGAACCTTTAAAAGAAACAACCAATCATCCCAAAATTATCATGTCTACCTCAATGTTGATATTTTTTTTTTTTAACAATATTGTTGGTCATTTCCATATTTGCATCCCTATTAGTGTTGTACACGTCACACATGTCTACAGCCTATGTTGGGAGGACTTTTGGACTCATCTCTGGCATGCATCATTACTTTTAAAAGTTATGATCTAGAGAGTGTTTTTTAAGCGCTCTGTAATAATTGATTTGCGTTAAGGTGCTGCTCTGCTCCCTCATCTGCAGCGAGCTGAGGGACTGTGGGGGCGGGAGGTGGGCTGCGCTCCTATTTCAGCCCCTGACGCACTGCCTCTGGGGAGGAAACGGAGCTGCAAACTCAGTCCTGCTCTGCTGTACAGGGTGCAGGGTAGAGGGAGAGCCAATCATCGAGACGCACAGGCTCCCTTTAAGCCTGACATATCTCCAACAGGAACAAATTGTCCCAACAATCAACATCCCAATCTGCGGCGCGCATCAGGGGTTGAAGAGGAGCGGATTGCCCACACAGGCCTGCGCAGCGTGGACGGACTGCGTGGATTTCACTATAACAAGAAGCTGTGGGACAGTCAGAAAGGTTGAATAAATCGCTTTGGATATCAAGGGATTTTCGCCGGTGGATCATGTCGATATTACCGTCCTTCGGTTTTACGCAGGAGCAAGTGGCATGCGTCTGCGAGGTGCTGCAGCAGGGGGGAAACCTGGAGAGGCTCGGTCGCTTCCTGTGGTCTCTGCCTGCATGTGATCACCTCCACAAGAACGAAAGCGTCCTCAAAGCCAAGGCGGTGGTGGCCTTTCACCGGGGGAACTTCAGAGAGCTTTACAAAATCTTGGAGAGCCACCAGTTTTCTCCACACAACCACCCGAAGCTGCAGCAGCTCTGGCTGAAGGCTCACTACGTGGAGGCGGAGAAGCTGCGCGGCCGGCCGCTCGGAGCTGTGGGGAAATATCGCGTTCGGAGGAAATTCCCACTGCCACGCACGATCTGGGACGGAGAGGAGACCAGCTACTGCTTCAAGGAGAAGTCCAGGGGAGTCCTGAGAGAATGGTACACGCACAACCCTTATCCATCCCCACGGGAAAAGAGGGAGCTGGCCGAGGCCACGGGACTGACCACCACGCAGGTCAGCAACTGGTTCAAAAACAGACGACAGAGGGACAGAGCCGCCGAGGCCAAGGAGAGGTGCGTTCAGCTGTCACAGACATGGAGGCTCCTGCAGCATCCAGAATGTTGTTCAAAATTCACTCATTACGCACAGATTTATGCTCTAGGTTCAAGGAATAAACGCGAAAAAATACAAAAAGATTTGTTTTTTCATGACAACTTTTAGAGTTCCATTTATTTATTTTTTTAACCAAAGTTAAACATATATAGGACCGCTGGATTTATCCAGAATCTTGATTGTTTCAGTAAGTCAAAAATGTGCAGTAAATGAGTGTTTTTGGTAACAGGAACAGCTTCAGCTGTCAGTATTTTTGCATTTCATCGGTTTAAAGAAGATAAGAAAAGAAAAAGGAGAAAAAAGGATGAAAAGAGAGTTAATAGAATATTGCACTATATCTGCAATAAAAAAGCAGTTTCCTATTATTTAAAAACAGAGGGGTCATGTGATATCTGGGTGATTTCCTTCTTCAACTTAGTCCCTTCTTTGATCCAGAGATTTTTAGAGAGATATTAATCTAAATTCAAGGTTAAATCTTTTTTACATTTTATTTTGATTTATTTATTTATTTTTTAGTTATCTGTAAACATATCTAATTTTTTTTCTCATTGGTTAGTAGGATTAATTGTATTTATCAGAACAAACCACAATAAGGGAGTGCACACTAAAATAAATTATCTTTACCTCCACATAATTTTTCTCTTGTTTTCCTTTGCAGAGAGAACAGCGAGAACAGCAACGCAGGCGGGAACAAACAGAACCAACTGTCCCCTCTAGACGGAGGAAAGTCTCTCATGTCCAGTTCGGAGGATGAGTTTTCTCCGCCTCAGAGCCCCGATCAGAACTCTGCGCTTTTGCTCCAGGGCAACATGAGCCACCCCGGGGCCTCCGCGTACCCCATGTCCGGGCTTGGGGCCCCACAGCCGGTGCACAGCATGCACGGACACCCTCACCAGCTGCAGGACTCCTTGTTGGGACCTCTAACCTCCAGTCTTGTGGATTTGGGCTCTTAAAGAGACCAGCAGATTTTAAAAAAACAAAACAAACATAAAAAAAAAACAGACCGAAGAGAACTGATGCGTGAATCAGATTGAAGACATGTATAAAATAACATTATTGTAGCCTACCTTATAATATAGACTGACTGCCTGTCGTTAAATTTTGGTTAGAGAGAAAAAAAACACCTCCTTAATGCGCTTACTCTTCATCCACTGAATGGATGCTTTATTTTTGTTTTGTTTTTTGTTTTTTTTTCCTGAAAACTCCCTCTTAACTGACGAAACACTTAACAGGATCCACTACCTGCTTAATTTATGATATTTTGTTAAAACTACAAAATAAGTAAAGTTACCTCCTGCGATGGAAACTAGGAGGAACCGTTTTCATAGAGCCATGGTTAGTTTCCAATAAAACCAAATTAATGCATTTGTGTCCGTGTAATTTGTGCATTTAATGGAATCAATTTTCTAGAGAAATTACGAATTTACGTGCAGTAAAATGGAAACAATATATTTATATATTTTTCTGAAGAGAAATAATCTAAATCCTGATTTGCGGTTCCTTTTTCTATCAAAAGTAGATTAATAAAGGAGCAGAAGTGAGACCCATACAAAAGAGAGTCAACAGCAGCAGCTGCCTGGAACTGTGTACACAAGAACCAGCTCGGTTTTTATTGAAAATCCAGCCTGATCTTCCACGCATGTTTAGGTCCACGAGTTTTTTTGATCTGTCATTTTTAGCTGCGGATCATTTGCTTTTTGTTGCCCTGTTTTCTTTTCTCTCTCTGGAAGTTTGTTCTGTCGGTTCCGGGCCATGGGAAAGAGCCCCCCCTCCAGATATTTTATGGAGGCTAGTAATAATAATAATAATAATAATAATAATAATAATAATAATAATAATAATAATAGAAGGGTTGGACAGCTCTCTAGTCCCCACCCCCCACCGTGCTCTCTTCTCAGCTCATGTCAGAGTAAATTGTTTTGAGCAGAGAGCACCGAGGATTTCCTGAGCATAATCTGAAACAGTCCCTGCCTGCCTCACTAGCTGATTGCAAAGATTGCAGAGGCTGCCGAGGCTGCAGCAGCCACAGCTTCACTGGAGGAGACCAAGGAGTGTTTTCTGCATCCTAGAGGCCTCACTCTTTTCCAGCTTTCTGCATGCTTCTAATGTTGGTTTACATGCAAACCCCTCAGAGCAAAATAGCAGCTTTACTTTGCTGCCAGCCAGACTCTCCTCAGAGTTCAGTTTGTATTTTTACATATCAAATGTTTAACAACATGCATAATTTAAATGCTCCTTGAATTAAGTCTAAAAGGGACATTTTTTTTTGTCTTAAAATCTTATTGATGTAGCAACACTTTTTATCACCGACCTTTTCAGCTTTTTCTAACTTGTCTGCAAAATTTTGCTAAGCAAAACTGATATTTCAGGAATACGGGGTAAAAGACTGCAGCAAAAACAAACAATATGGTTTATAAGAACATGGGAAAGACTTCTATATGAAAAACGATTTTCCTATGTCCTTCATCAGGATAAATGCAACAAAACACCCATAAAGTTTCACAATAAATGTCAGGAAATATTTATTGCTCCACCCAATGAGAAGGAAAAAATATATATAAAAAAAAAAAGTTTGCATTGAATCAGTTTTTTTCATCAGTGAGCACATTAGTTTTTTTTTTCTCTAAAATTTAGTATTAGTTTTGAAAATCATGAAAAAATAGAAATGAAAAATATAAAAAACGTTTCAATGTAAAAATTTAACTGGAGACATTTCATGAGGTTATTTGATTTGAGCATTTTTTGCAGCACAGAAAAGGTTTGGCTGATACAGAAAAACATTAACGTCCAAATATATGAAAGCAAAATCTCATTTGAGGGAAAAGATTATAGTTTAATTGGAAAACAAAGTTTTGCTGCTACAAAACATGAATATTTTAAAAATAACTATTGATCAACTTACATTTCTAATTATAATTATAAGGCACAGGGGGTTTTCTTGCTTAGATTACATCCTTTAAAGACGCGATCTTTCTACCTTTAACGACAGCATGACCTACAAACAACTGGGATTACTTTTTTGCTTTTTTTTTTTTTTACATGTTCTGCACAAATCTGATTCTGAAATCTTTTTTGCCCTAAAATTGTAAAACTGAGCCGTCCTTGAGTTGATATTTATCCAGAGATAATACTTTAGTGTAAATACAGTAAATACAATTCAAGATTCATAGAATTCAGATTTTTTTTGTTTTTATTTTAAAGAAAGGTATTGTGAATTAAATCTGCAGAGAAAATAACTTACAAATCTATGCATATATATATATATATTTTTTAAATTATATGTTATGTTATCACTATCTGAATTATGCAGATGCAAAACCAGGTGATCAAGGAGCAAGATTCCTCTTATTAATTTGACTACAACAGGGCCGGCAGAATTACAGACACTTTGAGGGTTAAACAGGCTCTCTGCCTGTATGACAGGGCGACTCTACCAGAGTCTCCTCCAGGAAGTCCAGGAGACTGAAATCAATCTCTCATGGAAACTCTTTTAATCAAGCTCAAACCCTCTGCTTTCGAATCCGCATCTCTCTGCTGTATTCTCCACTTTGTGTTTTTATCTCATCAGAGGAGCAACAAGTGCAAGAAGAGGAGGGTGTGCTCCATGCAGCCTATAGAGGAAGAAGACAAAAGCTGGAGGTTAACGTCATCCTGAAGCCGGCCGCGGCCAGGAACAACAGCTGCTGATGGCAAACAGACTGCGAGTCATCAAAAGGGTATTTCGGCGTAAGTGGCAGTGGCTCTAAATCAGCAGCAGGAAGGGCCCTGACGTGTGCAAATAAACATGGAGAGTGGCCTGCGTGCGTCTGAGCCTGCGCCATCCACCTCAGCACAGGTCAGTGTTTCCTCTCCAGCTATCCAGAAACCTCCAAAGCTGAGGGGGTTTTTGCATCTTGATTGGTTGAACCGCTCGTCTGCATGGTCTGGTGCCTGCAGGTAGCTTTTACTTCACAGGACAGCCCTGTGGAAGACTGTCCCAGGTATCTATAACCAGAGGCTGCATGAGGGCTGTGTGTGTGAGTCAGAGGAGATGGGTGGGGGCGGCGAGGAGGGGCTGGGTGGGTGATGAGGGACAAAAGGATCTTTTCAGGTCTGGCTCAGAGGGGTGGAGGTGGTGGTGTGGGAGGAAGGGGGCCAAAAAGATTTTCTTACCAATGATGCATGGATCTCACAATGCTCCTGGCTGTGTGTGTGTGTGTGTGTGTGTGTGTGTGTGCATGTTCCTGAATGTTTCTTAAGAAAACAGAACTGATCAAAGTAGATCTCACACAGTAACTAAACAGTTACGTTTCTATACCATAAATCTTGGAGCTTTGCAGAGCTCCCCATGGAAAATGTTAATTGCACCGATATCAGGGCTCCAAGCCAAACACAGCTTCCACACCGGAGAGCAGGAAGCCATTCAGGAAGCTTCTATGTGACACAGCTGAAAGAAATATTTATCTCTTTCTTCCACTCCTCTGAGTGATGGGTGACCTGGAGTTCAGAAGTGATGAGGAGGAGGAGGAAGGGAACATGCTGAAGAAACCCTCCAATATGAGAGTGTTAAATAGCATGTTATGCGTCAAATAAAGGAAAGAGGTATGCATGTTCTCTAAAGATGGGGAAATGTTCAAATCTATTAGAGAGGGAAAAAACAACAACATAATACAAGATAAGACGTGCACTAATGTGACCAGGAGGCAGAGGATCACATGACCAGCAGACACAAAGCTCATCTCTGGTTGCTGAGAATCAGATATCTATATTTTTGGAACCTCAACAGTAAGATGATATCCGTTAGCATCATTAGTCTCATGAAGTCAGACAGAAGAGTGACTTTAGCCGGAGGGATGCTTTTGGAAAACTTTTATGAGGAAAGTATATGTCACTTTCAGATGTGAAAAATGAGCAAGAAGACCAACGCCTGGCAGATAAAGAAAAATAGACAAAGAGGAATCATGAACAGAAACACAAAGGTTACTTTATCATAGGAAGGCTCGATTAACAGGGAACATCTTAAACTCACAGTTTACTGATCAAAATATAATACATTAAACCTGTTCAAATAAGAAAACTGCCCTGACACTATGGGGTAAAGCTGAAACAGCTTTGCTTTTTACAAATCAATGCATAATAAAAACTATCATAACAATTATTTATATCTATCTGGAAGTATGAGTTCAGTTCTGTTGATCCGTTGCATTTTAGAGGGAAAGTAGCAGCTGACCAGATACAGTACATGAATTAACTGATAATCATTAGTATAAAGACATCCAGTAAGGATTCCTTGACTTTTCTGCACACAGGAGTGTTAGCGGAATGACAAGAAGGAGAGGCATCAGCAATGTCTGTATCATACTGCTGCTCTCCATCAATCTTTGAGGGGTCAAAACCAATCTCCAATTAATTTAAAATCCTGAGGCTCAATTTTTATATATCACAGGCCTCAGTCAGCATGTTTAATATTAGATGCCGTAATCAGCATGTTACATATTAAGCTCTTTGATTGGACAATTACAAATGAGTGAACAAGTGCGGCCTGCTTGGAAGGACAGATGAGGGACAAATAGCCTCAGCAACCAAACACATCAACCATGAAGCTCGGCGGTGTCACTGTTCTTCTATGTTTTTTTCTCTGTATCTATTCTAGATTTGCACAGATAGATAACAGTCCTGCTGCAGGTTATGTATGTTGCTTTTTTTTGTCAAAGTTAAAAGAACAAATGAAAAAACTTGTAAAGGACAAAATCTGTACTGAGATGTCCTACGTGACATCATGTTGCATCTTTGAACAGTTTAACAAGAACAGTATTATATAATATATCTAATAGGATGACAGAGTTTATACTGTTAAATACATTGTGCTATAAGAGGCAGGAAGCTCCGTGTACCTCTCCTCTCAAAGCAGGGAATTAACAAAGATCTGTTCCTTCTAAATAGATCCTTTTAGAAGAATGAAGAAAAAAAAAAACGCTCTTCCTGACATGTTACTGTTTCTGATTTGTTCACTGGCAGATAAAGTGGTCTTCAGAGATATGTGAAAGGGATTTTTCCACACATATCCACATTAACTAGAATATATAAACCCTTGTCCCAGATTACTTGTTGGATCCATGAATCATGATCACTAAGCATCTAAGATTCACCGGTCACAAACCTGGAGGTCAGTCTGTTAAACAGAATCAAGTTCTTCCAAACGTGAAAATCTGGATGCTATGAAATGATCAAATATTCTTAAAACATTCAACAAAAACCTATTTGATGTCAGGTTAGAAGTCTGTCCCCAAAAAGCTCACATTTACAATTTGTCTCATGTTAAATAGCATGTTATGCGTCAAATAAAGGAAAGAGGTATGCATGTTCTCTAAAGATGGGGAAATATT